TCAGCAGGTCTGGCAGCATCTGTGAAGAAAAGATCAGAGTTAACGTTACGGATCCAGAGACCCTTCCTCAGAACAGAGTTCTGGTGAAGAATCGGACCTGAAACATTAACTCTGTTTTCTCCTTCACAGATGCTGCCAGACCTGCTGAACTTTTCCAGCAACTTGTGTTTTTGTTTCTGATTTACAGCATCCGCAGTTATTTCAGTTTTTATTTTGTTAACCCAGGGACCCAGTTAATGATCTTGGGCCCAGGTTCAAATCCTGCCATAGCAAATGGTAGAATTTGAACTCAATAAATTTGTGGAATTAAGAGTCTAATGATGACCGTGAGTCTGTTGTTGTTGTCGGGAAAAACCCATCTGGTTCATTAATGTCCTTTAGGGAAGGAAACTGCCATCCTTACCTGGTCTGGCCTACATGTGACTCACAGCAATGTGGTTGGCTATTAACTGCCCACTGGGTAATTAGGGATGGGCAATAAATGCTGCCTGGCCAGTGAGGCCCTCATCCTGTAAATGAATCTTTAAAAAGTTGAAATGCCCAGTACTACTCTATTACTTCTCTGAAATTTGCCTCCATACCTGCTGGAATATTTCTCTCAGACTGTTAGGGAGTGTACAGAGCACTCACAGCAATCTGATTGCTGCCCATTGGCTTTTATTTCACCCCAAATGGCTTCATTTCAGGAAGTTTTGAAGGTGTTACCCTCCTTCCTGCTGAAATTGATTCCTTAACCAGTACAGTGACACCTCTTTTACCTCCTTCCCTGTCTCTCCTAAAAACCCTGTCTCCTGAATATTGAGCTGCAAATCCGCACCATGTCTCAGTGACACAATGACATGAAACCCTCATGTTTTAATCTTGTAACACATCTGCCCTTTGTTCATCAGACTCCTCACTTTTGAATAATTTAAATCCTCTCTCCAACAGTACTAGCAGCAAAGATACTCGTCCCATTCTGGTTCCACCTTGTACTGGTCCCACTATTCCCAAAAGCATCCCAATGTCCCAGAAATCTAAAGCACTGCCTCTCCAGCCATACATTCATTTGGACTAACCTCCTACTCCTATCCTCACAATCCAGAGATTACTGTCCTGTTCTTTAGTCTGCATCCTCACCCCCTAAATTCTGCTTTCAGGACGCCATCCCTGAATGTCACTGGTGTAATTATATACCACTATCTCTGCCCATTTAAGTATGCTCCTGCTCTCGAGGGAGGACAGCGAAGGTTTACCAGGCTGATTCCAGGGATGGAGGGTCTGACGTATGAGGAGAGATTGACGAGGTTGGGATTGTTTTCGCTGGAGTTCAGGTGGACAAGTCCCCAGGTCCGGATGGGATCTATCCCAGGTTTCTGAGGGAAGCGAGAGAGGAAATAGCTGGGGCCTTAACAGATATCTTTGCAGCATCCTTGAGCACGAGTGAGGTCCCGGAGGACTGGAGAATTGCTCATGTTGTCTCCTTGTTTAAGAAGGGTAGCAAGGATAATCCAGGTAATTATAGACCGGTGAGCCTGACGTCAGTGGTGGGGAAGCTGCTGGAGAAGATACTGAGGGATAGGATCTATTTACATTTGGAAGAAAATGGTCTTATTAGTGATAGGCAGCA